TACTGTAAATTATAAACCATAAAACACAGGGCATGTTTATAACTGTAAAAATGCCTAATAATCAGTAATTTATCATTATAATACATCTGTTTATGTCTTAATAGTGACCTTAAGCTTATGTTTGGTTTGACAAAATTTCATTTGAATGTGTAATATTTTCCTTTTCTCTTAAAGGGCTAACCAAGGGCAGGGCCTGTATCTAGATGCCATATATACACCGATCAGGCATAACATTATGACCACCTCCTTGTTTCTACACTCATTGTCCATTTTATCAGCTCCACTTACTATATAGGTGCACTTTGTAGTTCTACAGTTACAGACTGTAGTCCATCTGTTTCTCTGATACTTTGTTAGCCCCCTTTTACCCTGTTCTTCAGTGGTCAGGACCCCCATGGACCCTCACAGAGCAGGTACTATTTGGGTGGTGGATCATTCTCAGCACTGCAGTAACACTGACGTGGCGGTGGTGTGTTAGTGTGTGTTGCGCTAGACTGAGTGGATCAGACACAGCAGTGCTGCTGGAGTTTTTAAACACCTCAGTGTCACTGCTGGACTGAGAATAGTCCACCAACCAAAAATATCCAGCCAACAGCGTCCTGTGGGCAGCGTCCTGTGACCACTGATGAAGGACTAGAGGATGACAAACACAAACTGTGCAGCAGCAGATGAGCTATCGTCTCTGACTTTACATCTACAAGGTGGACCGACAAGGTAGGAGTGTCTAATAGAGTGGACAGTGAGTGGACACAGTGTTTAAAAACTCCAGTATGCAGAGAAACGGTTGGACGTGCTGTTGGCATCAAATTGAAAATGGGCATATATTTCTCATTTTGTTTGTAAAGCATTTTCAAATAAATATAGGGTTTAAATGATTTGCACTTCATTGCATTTTGTTTTTGTTTCACAGCATCCCAACCTTTTTGGAAATGGGACTGTAGATAACTGTGTGTTGTACGGTATCAAAATCTGTATAATAGTTTGTGTACTGTAGTTGGTTGACATGTAGCGTATGGGAGACTGACCTTTGTACAGTCAGTGCTGCGAGCAGGCCGGCAGTGCGTGCAGGCCATTGGTTGCGGTGCCGGCTGGGCAGCACTAAGCTGGAGTGATTGCATTGCTCACAGTATAATGAGGTCAATGGGATTTGAGGGGTGAGTGATGATCCAAATATAGCACATGCATACCTATGCACGTTTGCACACACTCTCTCTCTCACACACACACAGCCACCAGTGCCCAGGTGTGACTGTTTACCATCATATGCATGCTTACAAACATATGCTCTCCTGACATTTATAGCACAATAATGCAATGATGGATTGGAAGGAGGTGGATCACTGAGAGAGAGAGAGAGAGAGAGGAGAGAGTTGGCTTCATTCCTGTTTAGCCTTCCTGCTCTCTCCATTCGGCAGGTCGCCAGCACTGTTGGCATAATGCGGAAATCTCTCTCTCTCTTTTCTCTCTCTTTTCTCTCTCTTTTCTCTATCTCTTTTTCTTTCGGTCTGTCTCAGTCTGTTCTTTTCTTCTCTCTTCATGTATATGTAGCTCTACATACCACCAAGATCTTCATTTAAACTGATCCAGACTATCACACTTAACAATTAGCCAGATCAATCAAACACAAAGCTACAATAATCCCACACTTCTGAACGAAGCCTCGCTGTTCAGTTACACAACTTTAGTACGTAAGTTAGTTTCAGTTCAAGCACAATCGCACGAACACAGGGATTTATACAGTGTCAGCACATGAGGTAATACACACGCCTGTATATAATCATAACGTTCCATATGTATTATGCAAATGTTAGTACCTATATGTAATGGTAATATGTCCCATACATGTATAAATGTAAATACCTATCTATAATAACAAAATGTCTCCTATATATATTTTATATCTCATATTATATATATATATATCCATTTTTTGCGCTTTTCACTTTCCTACATCATTTGAGCTCAGCAGCTGTCCTTTACATTATGTAAGGATTTCCAGATGATTGAATCAATAGAAATGCTCTAAAATTGCTTAGAATAAAACCTCTTTCCATTAACTTACATTGTATATATGAATATATTGAAATATCTTCCAATCATATTTGAAACTTTCAGCTGTCCACATTGTATGACCAGTTAATGCAGAATGGGTCAATCCTTCAGAATAACTTGAAATAAAATCTTGTTACACTAACTTACATTACATTGCTTCTTCTATTTTGGAGACACAAGTTTTTGTTTTGATGGTAAGAATTTAAGCCAAACCCTAAACCAAACTCTAATCTAACGTCGGGCTCCAAAAAGAAATGGCTTTGCTCTTTCAGTTTTAAAAGCTGAAACCTTTCTAAGGAACACTCTTCAGTGTTTTTGGCTTTGTACGTTAGACCTAAGTAAAACAAACACAAACACACATACAGATACAAACACGTGTGGATTGGACTGGCCAGTTTGTGGCCTTCTCACATGCTCGTGTTATTGATCACGCCACCACATCCCCCCACATCAATACAGGCTTCAGCCAGTACGCCGTTATACTAGCAATCCATATGAACCTCATTCAGCCTCACGTTCGCTGCCTCTACGAGCTCAGACTCCTGCAAATCAGCTCCGTCTCCTGAGTGAATACATTACAAAAAACTGGAAGATGTTTAAACTTGGATTAGCAGAAGCTTAGAGAGCGTTATGTGCGAACTGTGTTTGTAAAGTGCCTTTTTTCAACTGTGCCTCTATCATTCGAAAGTGTATTGTGCTTTTATGGCTGTCGTATTGACAGTGGCAGCATTAACAGGATGACACAGCATTAACTGAGGAAGTTTATATATTGTAATAAATGTTGTGTATTATACTGCAGAGAGATATGATTAACCCTTTGATCCGTAGATCCCTAGAGCACAATATGGACGATTACGATTATATTGCTACGGTTTGATTGCTATATGCCTTGCAGTATATTGAGAATTTGGTGGGTCCACACTGTAACCGAAATAATGTTGAAATGTATTGATACATCACATCATGATTCATCACAACACTCCTCTGGACCTGCGATTGGTAGAGATGCGAAAAACACAGTGAAAAACACTGTGATTGGTTAAAAGTCAAATTTGCATATTGCAATGGCCAACTTTGTGATAATGGTTAACACACATTAAGTAACTGCTGCTACTTAATTATTCACTAACTACTATAAATCATCCATTAACTAATACAATGTTTTCATTATCTGTTAGGAATGATTCAGGATCCACTATGAATTATTCAATAACTACTAAAATGAGTTGAAATTAGCAAAATTCTTTACTATTGACTATAAAGTATTCAGTAACTACGACCCCAATTCCAAAAAAGTTGGAACACTGTGTAAAATGTATATAAATGTAAATAAAACATAATACAATGATTTGCAAATCTCATAGACCCATATTTTATTCACAATAGAACATAGAACACATATCAGATGTGGAAAGTGAGACACTTTATCATTTCATTAAAAGCATTAACTTATTTAGAACTTGATGGCAGCAACGCATCTCAAAACAGTTGGGACAGGGCTGTGTAGATTCTAGCTGCTCAACAGTTCTGGGTCTTCTTTGCCTGATTTTTCATTTCATGATGCGCCAAATGTTTTCTGTGGGTGAAAGGTCTGGACTGCAGGTGGCCAGTTCAGCACCTGGACTCTTCTTCTGCGAAACCATGCTGTTGTGATAGATGCAGGATGTGGTTTAGCATTGTCTTGCTGAAATATGCAAGGCCTTCCCTGAAAGAGACGCTGTCTGGATGGGAGCATATGTTGTTCTAAAACCTCTATATACTGTTCATCATTGATAGTGCCTTTCCAGATGTGTAAGCTGCCCATGCCATAGGCACTAATGCATCTTCAAACCATCAGAGATGCAGGCTTTTGAACTGTGCGCTGATAACCAGCTGGATGGTCCGTCTTCTCTTGAGTCTGCAGGACACTGCGTCCATGGTTTCCAAAAAGAATGTCAAATTTTGATTCATCTGACCACAGAACAGTTTTCAATTTTGCCTCAGTCCATTTTAAATGAGCTTTGGCCCAGAGAAGTTGGCAGCGTTTCTGGATCGTGTTGACATGGCTTCTTCTTTGCATGATACAGTTTTAACTTGCATTTGTGGATTGCATGGTGAACTGTGCTCACCGACAATGGTTTCTGGAAGTGTTCCTGGAAGCCCATGCAGTGATTTCCAGTACAGAATCATGCCTGTTTTTAATGCAGTGCTGCCTGAGGGCCTGAAGATCATGAGCATCTAATATTGACCGTCAACCTTGTCCCTTGCATACAGGGATTTGTCCAGATTCTCTGAATCTTTTGACGTTATTATGTACTGTAGATGGTGGGATATCCAAAGTCTTTGCAATTTTATGTTGATAAACATTTCCTGAAATTGTTCCACAATTTTTAGCCGCAGTTTTTTGCAGATTGTTGAACCTCTGCCCATCTTTGCTTCTGAGACTCTGCCTCTCTTAAATGCTCTTTTTATATCCAGTAATGTGAGTTAGTTGCAAATCGCTCCTCCAGCTGTTTTTTATTAGCACCACTTACTTTTCCAGCCTTTTGTTGCCCCGTCCAACTTTTTTGAGATGCGTTGCTGCTGCCAAGTTCTAAAGGAGTTAATGTTTTCATGAAATGGTAAAATGTCTCACTTTCAACATCTGATATGTGTTCTATGTTCTATCGTGAATAAAAAAATCGATCTATGAGATTTGCAAATCTTTGCATTCTGTTTTTATTTACACAGAATACAAAGATTTGCATAGCGTCACAGCTTTTTTACACAGCGTCCCAGCTTTTTTACACAGCGTCCCAGCTTTTTTGGAATTAGGGTTGTAATTCAGAACTGATAAGTAATTTACGTAGGTATGAGGGTGTGGACCCACATATGGACCCTCAAAGTTTAACGGGTTAATTAGTATGCTTATCATTCATCTGTATGACCTAACCTTGACCCCACCAGCCCACTCTCTACTGGTGGGCCACTCACCTGGACAGAGCGATCTCCGCCTTCTGCTTGGCGATGTCCGCTGCTTTCTCAGCCCCTTCCACCGCCCGGTCTACCTTCTCCCTGATCTTGCTGGCACGCAGTGGGATGAGGTTCTTGCGCTTGCCGCTGACCAGAACGTTCTGCTTGTACTTGCCCTCCTCCTTGGTGCCATCGGGGAAGGTGGTGCAGCCGTAGCCGTGCCGCTTGTTCCCCATCCACTCTCCCTGGTAAAAGGGGTGAACTTGAATTTGTGTCATGATATTTTGCAAAACGAGTTCTGAATGCTATGAACACTTATGGGTTCTATATAGAACAGTTCTTTAAAGATGTTCTTTTACTGAAGAACCATTAACAAAACACTTTTTTAGAGTGTACAATGATGATCACAATAATAATAATAATAACAATAATAATAATAATAGTTCTTATTTATGTTACATTGTTATATTTTGTAAGCCTTTCAAAGTTAATAAATGATACAATGATCTGTGTAAAGCTGAACATGCTGAGGTACTGTTTACAATCAAAAAGCTTTCTTTTCTGTATTATGCAAATGTATTTGTACTGTACAGGACTCTAGTGGCTTCTTCAGAAACCCGTTCATAGTGTTTTCAGGTGGTGAAACAAGCTGGTTCATACCATGTTATATTATGTTATCCACAATATGGTACAATTCACATCATTTAAGTAATTCTGGTTATTAATTTTGCTTATTATGTCACACAGGTTGGGAAGAGGTAGTCACTCATTCTATGGGAAAACAAAAAAGATTTAAGACGAACATTGATAATTTGGAGACAAATGGACTTATTTGCATTTTTTAAGAACTGATACAATTAATCTGCTGTGAGAAACGAACACTAAAAAGTCACGAAGCTGAAATTAGCTTCTCATTCGCCAGCTTCTTGTTCAAATTTTCCCGTTTCCCATTCCTCCTGACTTCAGTCTCGTAAAAACTCAAACATTGAGAGACATCTTACATGAAACTATTCTGCTTTGGCGGAAAAGTTTCCTGCTGGAGATGTGAGAAAACAGAGCAAAGTAAGTCTGCGTTTTTGTTTATATTACATTTTTTAGCTTATACTAGCACATCAGCACATACTGAGACATGTTTACAGCCAAGACAGTAAAATGGACATATGTTGTGGCTCCCAAGGTGGTTTGATTTTTGTTGAAAGGACAAAATGGCTCTTCTTAACATTCGGGTTTCTGATCCCTGGACTAAGGAAAAGTGGAGCAAATTGTCCACTCTGTGACGGTGCCTCTCAGTCCCGGTCCTGGAGTACTGCCCTAGACACGTTAGTGTTTTCCATGTTTCCATCATCAGCTAGTTAAAGGGGCAATTTGGCCAAAATGGAAAATGTAACCATCTCTATATGTCTTGTAAATATGCTTACTGAAATCCCAAAGCTGTGCCAGAGTGAGATTTTCCAGTTTCAAAGACTGTGATGAAAAGTGATGAAAGCTGATGACGGCTCTTGAAGGTGGATCTTTTGAAGAACTACAAGCTCTTTGGGGCCGTATAGTTGAGGACGGGCTGTTTGAAATGTTTTGAGTTTCTTGCTATCTGGCTAATACTGAAGGTAGCCACACAAAGCTAATTTGAATTCCACATCTGCAGTGGCTGTGCAAGCAGTCAGGACTTCTTTATCAATGTAGGGAGGATTCCCAGGGGTTGTTTGGTGTATTTGCATAATGCATGCTGGGTATTGTAGTGAACATAAATAGATGAAGACAGAAAAAGTATGCAAAGTCGTAAACTCTGTCAAACCAGTGAGGCCGAGGGACGCAGTGCTGCACTACAAAATATTACGCAACACGACGGATAACATTAACTGCTAGTTTTAGGCTGGGATGCCTTTTTAACCAGCTTCTCCTGAGTGTGCAGAAGCAGAGCAGAGGAAACACTAAACCATTCAGTGCAGGGGTATTTCAGGACCAGAGTGAGGAACCACTGGTGTATAGAACAGTGGAGCAAAAATTAGGGGAAAAAAAACAATGAAAAGATGTTTGTAAGATTTACATTCAGAGATACAGCACTAATACATACACCGGTCAGGCATAACATTATGACCACCTCCTTGTTTCTATGCTCATTGTCCATTTTATCAGCTCCACTTACTATATAGGTGCACTTTGTAGTTCTACAGTTACAGACTGTAGTCCATCTGTTTCTCTGCATTCTTCAGTGGTCAGGACCCACATGGACCCTCACAGAGCAGGTACTATTTGGGTGGTGGATCATTCTCAGCACTGCAGTAACACTGACGTGGTGGTGGTGTGTTAGTGTGTGTTCTGCTGGTACGAGTGGATCAGGCACAGCAGTGCTGCTGGAGTTTTTAAACACTGTGTCCACTCACTGTCCACTCTAATAGACACTCCTACCTTGTCAGTCCACCTTGTAGATGTAAAGTCAGAGACGATAGCTCATCTGCTGCTGCACAGTTTGTGTTGGTCATCCTCTAGTCCTTCATCAGTGGTCACAGGACGCTGCCCACAGGACGCTGTTGGCTGGACATTTTTGGTTGGTGGACTATTCTCAGTCCAGCAGCGACACTGAGGTGTTTAAAAACTCCAGCAGCACTGCTGTGTCTGATCCACTCAGACCAGCACAACACACACTAACACAGCACCACCACGTCCGTGTTACTGCAGTGCCGAGAATGACCCACCACCCAAATAGTACCTGAGGGTCCATGGGGGTCCTGACCACTGAAGAACAGGGTAAAAGGGGGCTAACAAAGTATGCAGAGAAACAGATGGACTACAGTCTGTAACTGTAGAACTACAAAGTGCACCTATATAGTAAGTGGAGCTGATAAAATGGACAATGAGTGTAGAAACAAGGAGGTGGTCATAATGTTATGCCTGATCGGTGTATGTAAGACAAAACAGCAGTAAAACATCACCCAGAGTGACGCAGCAAGCAAAATAACCACTCTGTTTACATCTTAACAGTTACATTAAGCAGAAATGTCTTTCAGAGTGGTTTGATGTGAAATGCTCTGCTCTGTCCCTGTTATAGGGCTTATTAATGGCCCTAAAAGTTACTCCTTAGAAGTACAGTTATTAGTACTTGCGTGAAATAATGACTGAAGTAAAAGTACCTTCCCAAGAACAATTTGAGTAGAAGTACCAAAGTACAAAAGAAAAAAGTATTGTGTCGAAAAACGTACTTAAGTACTGAGTATTCTTCTCTTTTTGGGATTCATTTGATCGAAAATAAAATGCTATAAAGCTCTAAAGTCTGAGCTGTGACCAATCACAAGGCAGTACAGATGTTGTCACCAACAAAACAAAATTAAATTAGACACAAAAATTAAGTAATATCTAAATATGAATGGCTAAACTCAAAAAATATGGTTCTTCAAGGGTTCTTAACTAAAGAAATTGATTCTGTATAGAACCATGGACACTCAAAGAACCCTTTTGCGTGATTAAAGGGTTCTTTGCATAGTGAAATGGTTCTTCAGACTGCGCTGTAGATGGCTCTATATAGAACGTTTTTGAAAAGGATGCTATATAGCATCAAAAAGGGTTCTTCTATTGTCATGATGTCAAGCTTGTAACAACAGAAGAACCCTTTTTGGTGCTATATAGAACCAGCACATTCATTCTCAGTCAATCTGAAGAACGCTTTCATGTTGCAGAGAATCATGCGGTGCATTCTTTGAGTGTTCATGGTTCTATATAGAACCGTTTTCTTTACTAAAGAACCCTTGATGAATCATCATTTTTAAGTGTGTAGATTACTCACTAATATACTTGAGTAGTAGAAGTAAAAAGTAGTGTGATTTGTAAATACTTAGGAGGGTACAAATACATCAATATTTTGCTAAAGGACATGTACTTAAGTAAACTTAACTAGTTAGTACATAACCCAGGAAAGCTTTTACATGAAGTGCTTATGAATGTGCTGCCTGATGTCTGAGACATTGTTTTACAGTAGTTTTGAGAGAAGTTTTAGGGCTAAAATGTACTTTTATACATTCACTGTGGAGACCTATACGGAGGGTGTTGTAAGGGAAAATAACCCCCAAAGAAATAGTATTTTTCTTGATTTAGAGCTATTCTAGGTTCTGGGTTCACTGGTGGTTTTGGATAGCAAATAAAATAGCTATATTTGCATGGTAGGCATGAAGACTCCAGGGGCCGCATTACAGAAACTTCCTATCTTTTTGTCTTAACTTAAGATCTGACAGGTCAAGATAAGATTTTTCACAAATTCATATTACCGAAGCAAATCTGACCTTAATTTAAGAATCTTATCTTATCTTACAGCATCTTTTCTCATCTCAATTTAGGAAATCTTAACTTACTTGATTGAAGTTGACCATCAACTGTCATGTCTGTTACCTAGAAACCGACCATACGCGCACAGCTGAAACGTAAACACGTAATCAAGTTAGTTAGCCAGACAGTTAACGTTAGCTACCATTACTGAGGTAAACAAAGTCAAATAAAACTAAAGCGCGATAAACTGAAACTTAAGAATATTGTGTCAGAGCTTCGGTCTGTATATCAGAGTGTCGCTGTTTCAGTTTCAGTCTCCATTTCCCAAACACTTTAGCCGAGCACGCTAACGTTATTCCTCCTAATAAACAGACACACATTCAGCTCCGTCTCCTCATTATTCACCACCATCACTGTAATATTTCATCATCAACATTAACACACGAAGGTAATCAGAGGGACAGTGGCAATCGAGTCTGCAGCGTCTGAGGCTTTTAAACGCTGTTAGAAAAAAGTCAAAGCAGCGTTTTTAGTGTAGATAAATGTAGCGTCATTATGCTACTTATAGTGAACTATGCTACCTATTACTGCATAAATCAATAGAAACAGGCGATTAAAACAGACGTTAAGACGCTCTGGAGTTTATCTTAGAGTTAAGAAAATATTTAGGATATTTTGGCAACTTAGGATGTTTCTGTAATACAGGTTTCTTATCTGAAAATAAGAAAAGATTATAGACTTAAGAACTGTTGTTCTGTAATGGCTTCTGTCCCAACTTCAGTCTTAACTGAAGTTGCCATGACAACAAAGCAGATAAGGTATGATCTCAGACTTAAGAATTTTCTGTAATACGGCCCCTGGTTCGTATCACCACCACTGTAAAAAATAAAATTCAGCAAGTTTCTCTAGAACAGAGCATCTCACACCCAACCACTCTGAATGACTTTGTTTTCATCTTAACAAGTTAATTATACAGAACATTTGAAAAATTGGTTGAATTCCCCTTTAAGGCTAATAAGATCTAAGACAACATGCAATATATGACCAAATGTAAGTGGTGTTTCAGCCTCACCCACTGCTAACAGGTGTGTGATGAGCTCAGTGTCGTAGGACACCTTTTTTGCCACAAGTCAATTTGGGCAATTTCTGCCGTGAACTGCTATTATAGTGGAAAATAAACATCTAGGAGCAGCCACACAATGGTAGACCATGCAGACTCACAGAGTGGGGCCACCGAATGCTGAAACACTCAACAACACATAAAATTTCCTATCCTCTGCTGCATCACTCAGTACAGAGTTCCAGACGGCCTCTGGAAGCAACATCAGCCCAAGAACTATGCGTCAGGAGCTTCATGTAATGGGTTTCCAAGGCTGAACAGCTGCACACAAGCCTAAGATCACTATGCGCAGTGCCAAGCGTCGGCATAGAAACGTGTTCTCTGGAGGTATGAATCACGATACACTATCCAGCAGTTTTATGATCTAACCTGGGTTTGGCACATGCCAGGTGAACGCTACCTACCGGAATGCATAGTGCCAGCAATTAAGTTAGGTGGAGGAGGGATAATGAGCTGGAGCTGTTTTTCAGGGTTTGGGCTTCTTAGTTCCAGTGAAGGGTGATGTTGATGCTACAGCATCCAAAGACATTTTAGACAATTATATACTTCCAGCTTTGTGGCAGCAGTTTGGGGAAGAACCTTTCCTGTTCCAGCATGACTGAGCCCCTGTGCACAAAGCAGCTCCATAAAGACATGATTTGACTAGTTTGGTGTGGAGGAACTCCAATGGCCTGTACAGAACCCTGACCTGAATCTGACTGAATACCTTTGGGATGAACTGGAATGTTGATTGAGAGCCAGAACATCAGTGCCTGACCTAACAAATGCTCCTTTGACTGAATGGACAGTATTACACATACATATTTCACTTCTACACTGATATCCCACTCCTACCTGATAGCAGAGTCCGTCAGAGCGCCGGCTGACACCGCAGCCAGTGCGCTTGTCGTTCTTCCACTCTCCAGCGTAGCTTTCCGTGGCAGTAGCATCCACATCCTCCTCTCCTGCAGGCAGTTCACTCTCCCCCTCACCGAGGCTGATGGTGGAGTTGATGTCGGAGGCAGCCGAGCTGACCGTGCTCATGCCTGCCTCGCTGCGGAACGAGCTCTGTTTGCTGCGCTGGCTGGCCAGCGAGCTCTTGGATTCGGACTTGCGCAGTTTGAGGCCGCTGAGCAACGAGCGGCGGAACAGGCCCTTATTCTTCTTCCCCTTCAGCAGCTCAGCCTCGCTGTGGGCCGTCAGCACGAAGCCGCCGCGCGACACGGCAGGGCTGGCCACCAGGCCACCCGCTCCCACGCCTGCGCCCACCCCCGCCCGCTCGCCTGCCAGCAACGCCGTGCCGTTACTGTGCTCCGAGCGCAGGGAGTTTATAGAGGTACGCAGCGGTGAGCGGATAACGGCCGCCATGCCGTAGGGAACACTCTGCCGCACGCCGTAACCGTGGCGCATGCCGCCCACCCACTGGCCCTGGTACGTACCTGTGAGAACAAAGAAAAACAGACAGTGAAACAGCCTACCAGTTCCAGTTCTTTTCCACATTGACTTCCCTTCCTCCCACAACCAATTACATTTACATATATTCTTTCAGGAGTTGCTAACTTTTTACACTGGTCAGGCATAACATTCTGACCACCTCCTTGTTTCTACACTCATTGTCCATTTTATCAGCTCCACTTACTATATAGGTGCACTTTGTAGTTCTACAGTTACAGACTGTAGTCCATCTGTTTCTCTGCATACTTTGTTAGCCCCCTTTTACCCTGTTCTTCAGTGCTCAGGACCCCCATGGACCCTCACAGAGCAGGTACTATTTGGGTGGTGGATCATTCTCAGCACTGCAGTAACACTGACGTGGTGGTGGTGTGTTAGTGTGTGTTGCGCTGGTCCGAATGGATCAGACACAGCAGTGCTGCTGGAGTTTTTAAACACCTCAGTGTCACTGCTGGACTGAGAATACAAATACCAAATAGAAAATAAAAATGTCGCTTGATGGCTGTGATGAACAGTGAGCAACGCTCTGCACTTCATTTTTTGCCAATTCTAGTACGTCATCCAGGTTTTATGCTGTTGCATTTTCTCAGTGTTACAAGTACAGGGAGATTCGCTCGAAAGAGGCCCTGAATATTCTGTAATAACTCTCGCTAAAAACAAAGCAATCTGAACGAAACAACACTCAATGTGCTCCTCAGTATATGGAGCTTTGAGTCGGGATGCCCCTGCGTCGGAGCGACGAGGTAGGTGCCGGACAGCCGTCGCGACATCTAACCTCTGTTTGCACCTTCCAGGTGCAAACCCCCGTACCCCTTCATGTGTCTGGCAGAAAATGGAGATCACATCCAGCATCGCATGTAATGCAATCGATTACACACACGTCAAGGTATGTAGCTTATTTTTTTGGTTCAGGTTGCTTCATCCTAACGGCAGTTACAGCAGAATATTCAGGGCCTCTTTCGAGTGAATCTCCCTGTACTTGATATGAGACACAATGTAAGATTCGGTATCCAACGGTTAACACGGTGGCTCTCAATCTATGGGAACTGGTACCAACATCTACATATTTTCCGCTGCACACTGAAAAACGAGAACTCACCCAAAAGGAAACAAGTAGAACCTGCTAAACCTGTCATAGATACAGGTTTACTGTCTTTTTGGTCATCGAATGGCGCTCTAAAGTGTCTAATTTGGCTAATTAGCCACCTTGATTGCCAGTTAGTTTGAAATATGTACTGCACAGCTGTCTTTCTTACTATAGCTTAATACTAGTTCTGCTGCCCTAAAATAATTTAGTGCTCTTTTCTGACTCTGACACTCAGACAAATGCGTACAATTACACAGAATCATGTGTGGAATCAGAGAAATCTCTGTAGAATGTGAGAATATGAGCAAACACTCATTCTGTGGAAGCTAGCATAAGCGCTAATAACGTTAGCTTCTTAACTAAGGTGACCAGATCCTTATTTACCTGGGGACCGCCCCCATTTTTGTTGGTCTGCCCCAGCTGGAGCTGTCCCCAGAAACGTCCCCAATTTTAACTGTGAATCAAAACACACCGGAAAGTCTTAAGTAAGACCTGCAGATGAGCAGACGTATCGCGTTGTGTTTGTTTTGGCCAAGAGAGGGCGCTGCTGCTGCTATCTACTGACCATTTCTACCACTTGCTTGCCTCGTTTTAGAGAATACTGCTGTGTAAGACTCGAACAGAAACTTACAAGTGTCATAGTTCCATTGTTTACCAAAGCTTTACATCTTGTCAAAGTAATCATTCTAAAAATAGATGCTGGTGCTCTCATTGGTGATGTAAAGCTTTGATCACACAGCAGATAAAAGTGACCCAAATCCGCTTTAATCTGACATTTTAAATTCCGATTTGAGACGCTTTCATATGTGGTACTAAAATCCGATACGTATCCGATCTGCCGCAATGCGACTCAGTCTGAACAGCCAGATCGGAAATTCATGCAGCTTTTATGTCAATCAAACTCGACATTCGTCATCATTTCGCGTTGCTGAGACGTTTACGTGCCCTTTTTCAGGCGAACTCAAACACATTCAGGGTGATGAGCCCAGCTGTCAGTCAGTGAAGCTTCATGATGGCTCTTGTGATGCTGGCGAAGAAACTGAACGCTCTGGGAGCGACTGGCGTTCGCTGGAAGTCATGATTGTTTACCTCTGGATGAGCCGTGAAGCAGCGTGACACATTGTTCTTTTGCGCATGTGGGTCAGTTTAGGAGCTGATCTGTTCAGACTGATGTTCCATACAGATCACATTTAAAGAATAAGGTGAACAGCCAAACAAAATATCGGATTTGGTGAGAAAATCAGATTTGGGCCACTTTTACCTGCTGTGTAAAAGATACCAAAAACCATTAAACTTGAACATTAAACTTTCAGTGGGCCTACTGGACCGATGATCAATGGAAAAGCAGTTCCAGTTTTCTGGTGTAGAGGTTCTGGTACTTTGTGCAGTGAAAAAGCAGTCAAAGTGTTTTCCATGATTTAAAAGACCTGAAACACCTGACTGATGAAGCGATGAAGGGTTTAATAATTAGCTGATGAGTTCTTTCAGCTGTGTTAAATCAGTGAAAACACAGAATGCATGGGGTCTCCAGAACTGCGATTGCGAGTCTGTGGCTTGGGAGCAGATGGCTGCAGATTTTGATGATTCATGCTTTGCAAAACGTTTTTCTGGACACAAATTAAGCTTAGTGCCTAGACCTTAAATAGATGATGCCGTTGACTGTATAATTAGTACGTTCCTTCAAGGAACCATGAACATGCAAAGAGACATACACTCCAACCCTCAGGCTTGCAGGACGAGGTTTTGTCAGTTATACATAAAGACTTAGAATGTTCCAGTGTTTTTCAGCCACATATGCAATATAATGTTGATTATTACAGGCAATTATTACCCTTTTCCTTTATACAGAAGACTTCCTGACTCAAAACTAATAAACACCTTCAGTCTGATTCTGAATTCTGTCAGTAAATGCTGAGGAGGAGCAAAAAGACTAGCAGAGTTTTCTCTTCCCGGAAACACAACAAGGAAAACTAAGAAACTACAAGAAACAAGAATAGAACTAGGACTGGTTCAGAAATGCTCATGGCAAGACATCACAGACACTAAACACAAACACCCGGGTATAACTATGGAGACATACAGGTGGACACTATGATGGCAGGCAGGGTTCTGGGCGGAGCTACAGCTGTAGAGGACCAATAGTAATAAGACGGATAAACTTTATAAGAACAGCTTGTGTAGGACGTTGGCCTACTACCATAATAAATAGTATGTCCAAATACTACACTACTATTAGTAGCTACTTCAGTAACATGTACAGTTTAGTACAACCCCATTTCCAAAAAGTTGGGATGCTGTGCAAAATATAAATAAAAAAACAAAATGCAAAGATGTGCAAATCATTTAAACCTTATATTTTATTGAAAATTGTAAAAGGGCAACGTATCAGATGTCGAAACTGAGAAATTTTACTGTTTTTTGAAAAATATATGCCTATTTTGAATTTGATGCCAGCAACACGTTTCCAAAACGTTGGGATGGGGGCAACAAAAGGCAGATAAAGTTGTGTAATGCTAAAAAAACTATTTACGTTAATTGGCCACAGGTCAGTAACATGATTGGGTAAAAAAAGAGTGTCCCAGAGAGTCTTTCAGAAGTGAAGATGAGGAGGGGTTCACCACTCTGTGAAAGACTGTGTGAGCAAATAGTGCAAAAATTCAAGAAAAACATTTCTCAACATAAAACAGCAAAGAACTTCTGCTTTTCATCATCTATGGTACATAATAACAATAAAAGATTCAGAGAATCTGGAGAAATCTCTGTATGCTAGGGACATCTTTGGGCCCTCAGGAAGCACTGCATTAAAAACAGACATGATTCTGTAGTGGAAATCACTGCATGGGCTCTGAAACACTTCTGAAAAACACTGTCTGTAAAAACAGTTCAGCGCTGCATCCACAAATGCAAGTTAAAACTCTAAAACACAAAGAAGAAACCACATATGAACAGGATCCAGAAATGCTGCCACCTTCTCTGGGCCTGCACTTATTTAAAATGGACTGAGGGGAAGTGGAAAAGTGTCCTGTGGTCGAAATTTGAAATTCTTTTAGGAAATCGTGGATGCTGTGTCCTCCGGGCTAAAGACCACTCAGCTTGTTACCAGTGCACAGTTCAAAAGCCAGTATTCATGATGGTGTAGGGGGGCATTAGTGCACATGGCATAGGTGACTTGCACATCTGTGAAGGCACCATTAATGCTGAATGATATATGCATGTTTAGGAGCAAAATACGCTGCCATTGTCTTTGTACTATTTTAAATGATTTGCACATCATTGCATTCTCTTTTTATTTACATTTTGCAGAGTGTCCAAACTTTTTTGGAAACGGGGCTGTAGTAAGTGGTTTCGGATACAGCCATTCTCTCAGCCTGTCTTATCCTAACCTGCACTGTAAGAGTGGAAGAGTTTTGAATAAGAGAATGTGTTTTCAGTGCTCTTGTAAGAAAAGAATGGAACTGTATCCAAATGATTGTTTGTGGAAATTGGCCGTATTGTACAGATGCAGCAGAGATTAGGCTGTAAAACACTGGAGAATACTTTCAATATCAGTAGGTATGCAGGACAGGAAGCTAACAGTTGCATTGTAGCGTGTCAACTTTAGTCCTACGGCTGTAAAAGATCTTAAATCAACCGTCCCCTCAGTGCAGTTCAGAGTTATGCTTAAACGGCTTAGGCTTTTCCATATCATGGAAAACTGAAATGACTTTGCTTTTGGTGAAATCAAAGAGTTTGTTGCATTAAGTAAACATTGTTAACATTTCAAAATGTACTGTTCATTCATTCCTCAGCCCATGAAGTCCAACACAACTAACACATTTACATACATATCCACCAATTCAGCCTACAGCAGTTTAGCCCCACCCACTCACACTGAAGTTACCACCCTACAGGGCAGCCAAT